CAGTGGAACAGGCTTCCTCGAGGGGTGGCGGGCTCTCCTTTGGAGGTTTTCAAGCAGAGGCCAGATGGCCCTCTGACAGCAATGTGAATTCTGTAAACTCAGGCAGATCACGAGAAGGGAGGGCAGGAAGGGTTGCCTCAGTGCTTAGTTCCCGTGGCCCTTTCTTACACGCCCAGGGAAATGCCGGTCACCACTTTGGGTGTCAGGAAGCAATTTTTCTTCAGGCCAGTTTGGCCAGGGATCCTGGAGAATTGTTTTGGTGGGTTTTTTCTTTCTGGCCATCTTCTGAGCATGGAGCAAGGGTCACTGGAGGTGTGGGGGAAGGTATTTGTGAATGTCCTGCTTTGGTCAGGCCGCTGGACTAGATGACCCTGGAGGTCCTTTCCACCTCTATGATTCTGTGACTCTATGATTCTACATGGATCAAGCCTGCCCTTGTCTGCCACAATTGGAGCACTCTTCTGTTAAGAAACAGGTGTGCCAAGGGGGTGCTACGTATTGTAGAAGAGAAGAAGAAGAGGAGATTGGATTTATACCCCGCCCTTCACTTGGAGTCTCAGAGTGGTTTTACAAACTCCTTTCCCTTCCCCTCCCCACAACAGACACCCTGTGAGGTGGGTGGGGCTGAGAGCACTCTGACACAAACTGCTCTTTTTTAAGGACAGCTGTGCCAGAGCTTGTGACTGACCCAAGGTCACATCAGCAGGTGCAAGTGGAGGAGTGGGGAATCAAACCCGGTTCTCCCAGATTAGAGTCCGCACACTTAACCACTACACCAAACTGGAACTTGTGTGTCGCTCTGACCTGGATAGCCCAGGCAAGCACGATCTCATCAGATCTCGGAAGCTAAGCAGGGCCGACCCTGGCAGGGATTTAGAAGGGAGACCTCCAAGGAATACCAGGTCCGGGAAGCGGAGGCAGCAAGCCGCTTCTATGAACGTCCAAGGCCTGCTTGGGGTCACCAGAGGTTACCATGACTTCAAGGTATGCAAGCGCACACATATGCACACAAAGAAACTAGTGTGTCAAGGATAACCCCATCTTGGTGAGGTAACTTAATCAAGCTTATTCTAGATTTGATTCAGATCACTCCTTTGTAACCCACACTATGAAGCAAAAAAAAAACCCCTTTCTTGAAGAAATCCATGAAAATATTTTTTTAAAAAGTTCTTCCATTTCAGTGGCAGTCATGATGCACAGAAAAGAACAAAGCTAAACTAGCTAACTAGTTATTCAATTCTTACAGCAGAGATGTTGGTCCTTATAACTAAAGCATGGTGTTCCAGAACACGCGAGAAATATCTTCAGGTAGCATATGAAGAAAGGCTAAAGAGGTTAGGGCTCTTTGGCTTGGAGAAACGACGACTGAGGGGTGACATGATTGAGGTTTATAAGATTATGCATGGGAAAGAGCAGGTAGAGAAAGAGGTACTTTTCTCCCTTTCTCACAATACAAGAACTCGTGGGCACTCCATGAAATTGCTGAGCGGTCGGGTTAGAACGGATAAAAGGAAGTCCTTCTTAACCCAAAGAGTGATTAACACGTGGAATTCACTGCCACGGGAGGTGGTGGTGGCTACAAGCATGGACGGCTTCAAGGGGAAATTAGGTAAACATACGGAGCGGAGGTCCATCAGTGGCTCTTAGCCATAAGGTATAGATAGGGACTCTGGGGCAAGTGATGCTCTGTCATCTTGGTGCTTGGGGGAGGGGGCAACAGTGGGAGGGCTTCTAATGTCCTGGCCCCACTGGTGGACCTCCTGATGGCACCTGGTATTTTTGGCCACTGTGTGAAAGAGTG